ACGAACAGAGAACACATCGGTGCCACCACTAACAGAGGTGTCACGAATACGAGAGGGAACGACGGTGCAGCGGAGAACAGAGAAGACAACAATGTCATCGGTTACTGAAAAAATATCGACGAACAATGACATGACAACAGCTGAGACGACAGAAGGCAATTATTTCTTCAATTTTTGAGTTTCTTTAAAATTTAAATCGATTTTTTGATTCAGTCTTTGTAAACTGAATGAACTGAGAACCGTTTTTCTGATCGATTTCTATTGCCATTAATGAAGCTTTTTAATTTCAATATCCTCAGAATAGCAGGTGCTAATTGCAATTCACTGCAAAATTCTTTTCAGACCGTAGTTGAAAAGTTAAATGATAACTGAATTTATTATTGCTGGACCGTAATTCCATTCAAAGAGTTACATGATTAGAATGAATTTATCAATTTTTTTCTTATCATCTCTGTTATGAAATCATTTCAGTGCCATCAACGTTAATCATCGATTTCATCTATAATAATTCATTGGCCACAACATTATCATATTTGGTGGTTCAAATCAGCATTTTATTTTCTCTTTTATTGTATCAGTATTAGATGTATCGATAATGAAGCGAAAAAAGTATTTATGTATTATTTTTGGCTAATTATGCGAAATATTGATTGATTCTTTTGTAATTTCTTTTGAATTGTTAGAAATTGATAATTTTACGATAATTTGTGAAATACTAAACATTATAGTTTCACAAAAAATGAAGCCTGATCGGAAAAGTCAATTCATAATGATTTCTTAATGATGCTTATAGGTTAAGGCTAGTTGAAAAGTAGATTTCAATTAAAATTATCAATTAAACAAAATGTTTACGTTCTTTGCAGGAGACAAATGTATTGATTTGTAAAATTAAATAAAATAAATGACATTGCGTTGCATTTATATAAAATAAACGACGAATACATCAAAAGATAAGCTATTCTTTGAAAATAAACCTTAATGTATTATTAAACATGGAATTTAGCATTATTAGCATTATTTTGTAACAATAGCTAAGTTTCATCAAAACTTGCAAGTCATTTAATATTTATTATCTCTCAGATACTGTAATTTTCTTGTAGTTATATTTGAGTTATTATTGATCGTAATGCTAAGTGAAAATTTCATTCAATCTTTTCATTGCATAATCAAAATTCAGTAATTTCATTTCATTGAATAAAAGTTTTCAAGAAGATTTTTGATGAATTTTTTTCAAACAAATACAATTCATTTATTACTTGCAATAATTGCTTGTATTGTTTATTTTAATAGTTTACGACTATTAAGCCTAATTAACACATGCATAATCATGAAGAAAACAATTCATGACGAAACACTGAAAAGCTATAACTTCAGAAAATTGCCCATTTCGCCCTGTCAAAAAATTAAAAAAAAAAGGGATATTCAGATTACTTTCTGTAACATTCCAATCCTATCATAATATATTTTTATTCCATCATATGCAATCAAATATTGAAAAAGTCAATTTTGAATTAATTCCTTAACATTATCACTATCAGTAAACAAATACCAATTGCAACATTTTGTAAATGCAATGGTGCACGATAATGAAATGATTACAGTTTTCCTTATTGCTATATTGATTTTTTTTGACATATTTTTAGGGGAAATTTAAATTGCATTCTTCAAATTCTTGACTCTGTCATAATTAAAATATTAATTATGACAGAAAATATGCTATTCCTTATTAAATGATAATACTGAAATTAATGAATAACATTGGAAAATTACCGAATTTCTATTGTACTCCTCTGAGATTTCCTGCAAAAATATTCGAAAGTCTCATAACTATCTGAATTTCATTACTTCACATTTCATTTTAATATTTTTTCACACGGAAGCATACGTATTGTAAATACGATTTTTGGACTCCATTTCATCAAATGTAGAAAATATTTTACTGATAAATGATTGATATATTCATATCTGATAAGCAAATTAACTAGCCAAGTAAAGTTTTCTTGGCTTAACTACCCGAAATGGAATGTTTTTTGCTATCAAATGTGATTAAAAAATAAGCCAAGATATTGATTACAGCCATACAAATTAATTTTAAATCAGAAAAAAAGTTGAACTGAATTTTTCGTACAACACTTCGTATAACTGAATTTTTTTGTTGAATTAAATAATTTCTCATGTTTTATTGAGTATATCCAAGTATCATTTTGTTGTGTATTTAATTTATGCATGGTTATTCCAGCAGAGAATTAAACCATTTGTTCCATAAATTTTGCATTATTTAAATTTTCAGATTATTTTGTCGAATGTTATGTTGCCAGGATTAATAACAATTTACGTGTCAAATTTTGGATAACAATTCAAGAAAAAAATACGCCATCAAAGTGGTATTGTTTTTTAATACAAAATTTAAGTACTTAAACAAATTCAATTAAAAATTCATTATCCATCAGTTATCATTAAAATAAATGATAATTAAGTACATTTGATTTCTACTGCTCAAATTTGCGAATCAAATCAAACTGTGTCAATGATATGATTTGATTTGATTTTTTTTTTTAAATTAAATTGCAGAGAAAAATGCTAGCAAGCACACATAATTATTAGCTGTATTACTTAATTTGAAGGAAATTTTATAAATCTTTTTTAAAGATGAAATAAGAGTTACAACGAGTGTAAAAATCGCTCTAATTAACATTTCACAAATTTTAAACTCAACTTTTATGATTTTTTTTTGATTTAATTTTCAGGCAATGAAGAATTTCTTTTTTTTTTTGACGACAGATATTTACAACATATAATAATATATTCTACAATTAATTAATTATACATTAATAACGAAACAGTAAGATTATAAGTGATATAAATAGAAATTTAAATATAATTGGTCAAATAAGAAATTTGATTCAACTTTGTAACTATTTGTTAACAAAAACAAAAAATCTCTTGTTTTTTTTTTTAATTCACTGTTTTGCTATGATATTTTGAAGGGAAATTTTGTAAGGAAATAATTTTAATGCAAAAAAAAAAATTTTTTCTTTTTCAGATCTTAACGACAAAATTATAGATAAAAATAACTGTAAAATTGTAATAATTATAAGTAATTCGGAAAGTTTTTATGATTTGAGTAATACCTTAAAGATAATAAATAAACGGAAAACTGCAACGGTAATATTTCCGTTGAATTTGTTCAGTTTCCTATTCATTTTTCCTCAATCACTTTTGCATTATACCCGTTTGCAGCGACCATACGACCGTATCAATAACTTATCTATAACAATAATGAAGTATGATAGTATATACAACGAAAAATTAAAATTTTGTCATTAAATGTTTCAAAAAGTCAAATCAATACATTCCATCTGCTTCAAACATTTTTTCTAACTACCTATAATCAAATTAAATAATTATGCTACGTATTTCACAAAATGTTTCTAACTGTCGCAATATAATACAAATGACCTGTAAATAATGCATGATATGAAAAAGTTGAAATATAGTAGTACAAATAATGGTAAATTAAAATTTCAAATTTGAATCTATTTTAGGCGACGAGATAGGGTGCTCGCAGGGCGATAGTTAATGAAGTGATTGCAATCACTATCGAAAATAGAATTAAACCGATCCGATCAACAATCATTGCTGCAAATCGCCATTCATTTGCAATTCGTTTCTCTTCAATGATATCATCGGTTTTTTCACGAATATCCTTAATTCAAAATAATTTTACAATAAATGATAAGAGGAAATTTCAAATTTGCAAAACTTTTTAACATAAAATAAAGCAAGGAAGCAAAAATTGATAAAAAAAAATTGAGTTAACTCATTGAATAGTTTAATGAACGTGGAAAAGAATAAGTTTAATTCATTAATAGAGTTAGTACATTGAATAGTTCAAGAATAAGTTTTATTCATTAATTTTGAAATGGTCATATAAAAAAAGCTTAAACATATTCAAAAGAGAGGTAGGAAAATTCAAACCTTAACATGCTTATGAATGCGATCAAGTATTTTCAAGCGTTGTAGCAAATTTTGATCATTTTTTTCGTATTGAGTAACTTTCAAATGGAAAATTAAACCTTGGAAATTTTCTCGCAATACATCACCAATTTTTTGAATTACTCGCATGTGTCCATCATTCTAAAAATGGTACATTTTATGAGTTAAAGAAAATATGACAAAAATAGTTCAGCAAGCTTACGTATCATTCCATTATTGTAATAGATATCATAAAAGTTTTCCATACAAATTTAAAATAACAGAAATTGTCTGAACAGTAAAATTTTCTGAAAAATCTTATGAAAATGTTAGAAAATGGATTATTGATTTCATATGTCTTAAAGAACTTCATTATGAATACAATATTAAAAAATCGAAAATTAACTGATCAATAAATTCATACTTTGCCATTGCCATCATCTTCAAATTTTAAAGGAGTATTTTAAAATTTAATGAAATTTTAAGCAAAAACGAACATAAGTAAAGGCAGTTCGATCATCGTCATTCCTCCTCTTTCGATCTTTCCAGTCTTGCTTAATTGTTTCCAATGTATTTTCACGTTTCGGATGTTTCATACGTAAAATAAACGGTGCCCATTCCAATAATATGTACCGCATCTTTTTTTTGGAAAAAAAATATAAAATTATCTGATTAAATCTAAACAGAGGATAATTTTGAGTTTAAAAAATTTCGATTTAAACCACTTGAGAAACCAATTTAATGAAATAAAATTTAAATTTTACACCGAGTTTGTGTCATTCAAATTAGTTATTCGAAATTTGAAAGCCAATAAGATTTATTCAGCAAATTTGGAAGTTTTGCTAAATTTGAACAGCAAAAAAATGGTCATATATTAAAGGAAAATATACCCAAAAATTCATTCGCATTTGCGTATCCGGATTCCGGAAATGAACAGCTTGCACATAAACGGTAAAGGATGTTGCTGCCACCGATATAACCATACAACTCAGGAAAAATATTCCTGAGAAAGAATATGATTGAAAAATAGTTGTCACATTTTTTGCGCAAGATGAACTGTTTTTTTCTGCTTAATCAAAGTTCAATTTCAAAATTCTTTATTCTTCTTAAATGATGCAAAAACCCATTG